TTTTAAAAAAAATTATATTTTAACCTATATTTTTAAGACTTAATTATAAAAGAGAAAGGAAGTGCTCGCTCCAATCTAATAATATTACATTTGATCAAGATTATTCATTTTCTGTCCTAAAAAATCTTTTACCAGTTTCTTAATTAATTTATAAATAATTATGATATGTTAAAAAAAAAAATTATAAGAGGGAGAGGTCATATTCTTAAGATCGTCCCTTTCGATGCAGAAGTCATAATTAAGAAGGCCAAAGCCCTGATTGCCCGTACATTTTTTTTAATCAATATTTTAAATTAATTTTATCTGAATTCAGACACTATAATAGCTAAACCGCGAAAAACACAAAAGTGTAACGGCAGGTCATGTGCACGTCACGTGCACATTAATTTCCATTAGCTTCTGTATTGCGTGGCAAAGCAAGTAAACAGGGCATTACGAGGACATGTTTTTCTGGCGATGATATAAGATAATGTTTTTATAGGCTTAATTTAATAAATCATCTACTAACTATTACTTTGTTTTCATTTTAGTCTAGATACTTTACTTTCTTTCAAAGTCATCTATTAACTTTCAAAACTGTTTCGTTTTCGTCTACCCTCACTTAACTCCGTTAACCCTGTTAACAAAATTCTTCATATGGGGTCATGTGTTGCCATGTAAGCAGCCACATGGCAGGAGCAAATTTCCGGCAGCAGCATTGTCCCTCTTTCTTTTTTTTTTTTTTGGCCACATGGCAGGAGCAAAGTTCCGACGAAGATACATATTTAAGTATAGAAATTGAATTCAACAGGTCATGGCAGAACATAATTAATCCCAGAAACAATTTCGTCGAAGAACGGACTCTTTCACTCAAACCGACCATCAGTGCAAGCGTTTCGTGGAGGAAATTAGTCTCCGGAGCCACCACTGATTCCAATTTAACTTCTTCAGTGCCCACATTTGCGAATCCGTTCTTGAATGAAATGATTGTCATTGCAAAAAGATCGATTACGAACTCAAGAAGAATGCCTGAACTGTTTGGAATCCGATTAGGCGCCATTCTGGTCACCGGATTCATCCTGACGACGATGTTTTGGCACTTGGACAATTCCCCCAAAGGGGTTCAAGAACAAAATGGGTTCTTTGCCTTCGCCATGTCCACCACCTTCTACACTTGCTTCGAAGCCATCCCTGTTTTCCTCCAAGAACGCTACATCTTCATGCGAGAAACTGCTTACAATGCCTACTGCCGATCATCGTACGTCCTCACCCACTCCATAATTTCCATCCCTTCCTTAATCGTCCTCTCCATCTCCTTTGTCGCCATACCTTTCTGGACGGTGGGACTCACCGGCGACCTCCATGGGTTCCTCTTCTTCTTCTTCACCATCCTCGCCTCCTTCTGGGCCGGGAGATCCTTCGTCACATTCATCTCCGGCGTCGTCTCCCACATCATGCTCGGATTCACCGTAGTAGTCGCCATCCTCGCCTACTTTCTCCTCTTCAGCGGCTTCTTCATCTCCCGCAACCAAATCCGCTTATACTGGATATGGTTCCACTACATCTCCCTAGTAAGGTACCCATACGAAGCTGTTCTACAGAAGGAATTCGACAACCCAACAAAATGCTTCGTCAAAGGAGTCCAGATGTTCGACAACACGCCGTTCGGAACAGCACCGTTGGCAGTGAAGCTGAAGCTGTTGCAAATTTAAGTAGAGAAATTGAATTTTCAAGAAAAAACAATGCTGCCAGAAATTTGCTCTTACCATGTGACCAAAAAAAAAAAAGAAGAAGGAGAAACAATGCTGTTGCCAGAAAGTTGCTTCTGTCATGTGGCTGCTTACATGGCAACACGTGACCTCATATGTGGAATTTCATTAACGGAGCTAACGGAGTTATGTGAGTGTAGATGAAAACGAAATAGTTTTGAAAGTTAATAGATGACTTTGAAAGAAAATAAAGTATCTAGACTAAAATGAAAACAAAGTAATAGTTAATAGATGATTTATTAAATTAAGCCATTAATGGTGAGTGTTGGGACTGAAAAGTACAATTAGAAAAGTTAACTATTGATTAAATTAAGTATAATGATTTATAGTATTCTCAGTCATATGACTGCCATATAGATTTCTTAAGTATAGTTATTAAGTATAA